CGAACCAAGCAGCCTGCGGGGCCACCTCGGGGAAACTCGAGGGTTGATTTTACTCGTAGCTTGACCTATCTGAGTGTGCCCTGGGAACGAGATATGTGCAGCTCCTATCGGGATTTGTCGGCACATTCGGGAGGTGTTGCTGGTTTTGTTTTAACCTGTCGAAGTGTCTTGAAGAACCGAGATACCGAGTCTGATCGGAACGTCTCGGGAGGAGGTCTATTCCTTCGTTGACCATGAGAGCTTGTCATGGGCTAAGTTGGGACTCCCCTGCAGGGATTTGAACTTTCGAAAGCCGTGCCCGCGGTTATGGGCAGATGGGAATTTGTTAATGTCTGGTTGTAGATAACTTGAACCTTAACTTAATTAAAATGAATCAACAGTGTGAGTTACCGTGATGGCCTCTTCTCGGCGGAGTCCGGGAAGTAGACACGGTGTTGGAGTAATGCTTGCGCATGCTGTCCTCTAGTTTCTCGCTCGCGCTTTGCCTCCTCTTCTCGCTCTCTTTTGCGAACATGATAGCCACCATATATGCTAGTCGCTTGCTGCAGCTCCACACATATTTATCTTGCCTTACCTATAAGCTTAAATAGTCTTGATCGCGAGGGTGCGAGATTGCTGAGTCCCTGTGGCTCACAGATTACTATTACACTAGATGCAGGGCCTGATGATTCCGCTCCAGGTGACGCGCTTGAGCTCAAGTGGGAGTTCGACGAGGACTCTCAACGTTACTATGTTTCCTTTCCTGATGATCAGTAGTGGTGCTCAGTTGGGGGTGATCGGGACCGTGTCGCATGTTGGGTATCTTTTATTTTGGCGCCGTAGTCGGGCCATGAGTGTTTGAATGATGTAATGTTATTTATGTACTTGATTGACGTGGCGAGTGTAAGCCAACTATGTTATCTCCCCTTTTATTATCTATATATTACATGGGATGTTGTGAAGATTGCCTAACTTGCGACATATGCCTTCAATGCGATTATGCCTCTAAGTCGTGCCTCGACACGTGGGAGATATAGTCGCATCGAGGGTGTTATACGAATATAGCCGTCCAATATATCGATCTTTACGTCTCGACCATTTCGAGACTCCTCGTCATGTCCGTGATCTCATCCGGGACTCCGGACAACCTTCGGTGCATCAAATCACATAACTCATAATACAAATCGTCATCGAACGTTAAGCGTGCGGACCCTACGGGTTTGAGAACTATGTAGACATAACCGAGACTCATCTCCGGTCAATAACCAATAGGGGAACCTAGATGCTCATATTGGCTCCTACATATTCTACGAAGATCTTTATAGGTCAAACCGCATAACAACATACGTTGTTCCCTTTGTCATCGGTATGTTACTTGCTCGAGATTCGATCGACGGTATCATCATACCTAGTTCAATCTCGTTACCGGCAAGTCTCTTTACTCGTTCCGTAATGCATCACCCCGTAACTAACTCATTAGTTACATTGTTTGCAAGGCTTATAGTGATGTTTATTACCGAGAGGGCCCAGAGATACCTCTCGGAAACACTGAGTGACAAATCCTGATCTCGATCTATGCCAACTCAACAAACACCATCAGAAACACTTGTAGAGCATCTTTATAATCACCCAGTTATGTTGTGACGTTTTATTGCACACAAGGTGTTCCTCCGGTATTCGGGAGTTGCATAATCTCATAGTCGTAGGAACATGTATAAGTCATGAAAAAGGCAATAGCAATAAACTAAACGATTATAGTGCTAAGCTAACGGATGGATCTTGCCCATCACATCATTCTCTAATGATGTGAACCCGTTCATCAAATGACAACACATGTCCATTGCTAGGAAATTTAACCATCTTTGATTAACGAGTTAGTCAAGTAGAGGCATACTAGGGACACTTTATTTGTCTATGTATCCACACATGTACTAAATTTCCGGTTAATACAATTCTAGCATGAATAATAAACATTTATCATGATATAAGAAAATATAAATAACAACTTTATTATTGCCTCTAGAGCATATTTCCTTTAGTAGTCACTTGTTGAAATCTTTAGAAAGACAAATATTTAGGAAAACGCAGAGAGTATATACTTTTAAAACTTCCCATATACCTAAATAAATTTTCGCATAATATCTTTGCCATCTAGTAGTAAAATAGAAAAAAAGAACTAGGATTCAAACTCAGGTCACTCATGTGGACGCTTGAGGTGCTAGCTAGTGCAGTGGGCAGGTGTATTTGGACAGAGAAGCGTTTATGTCATTTTCGTTCTCGGCAAACGAGTTTCCAAAGCTGATGTGTCTTCTCTCTGTGCTTCAAGATCCGTGCGACACGTCTGATGGCAACGAGCAGGTTCGCCGGAAGGGACGAAAATTCTGACGTTCGCCGGATATGATTTTTATTTTTTTTTCTTTTCCTTTTGAAGTATATATAAAATAATCTCAATGTACTCCCTCTCTTTCAGTTTACCGGGCGTGCGTGTACTTCTAGGTTATCAATTTGACCAACCTAATACAAGTTATATATTATAAAAAATATACCAATATAAACTTTTGATGTTCTATTTTCAAACGGTATAATTTTTTGTTATATACATTATATTAAGATGATAAAATTGACAATCTAGATATACGCACAAGACTTGTAAACTGAAACGGAGATAGTAAGATCAATGATATAGAACTTTAATGTGCAATACTTATGATCTAGATGTGTTTTAGCATAACTGTATAGAATATTTTATTCCTTACACAACTTTTGTGCAACGACGTATAGTAGTACAACTGAGAAAATTTGCAGGAAAAGGAAAACGAGAAAGATTTATGGGAGCACGAAGCGGAGGAGACGAGGAGTAGTCGAGTTCGAACCAGAATCTCGCACCGACTCCGGCGACCCAGGGCAGGGCTCCCCCCGCGACCTCGATTCTAACCATCGCCGAAACCCTCCAAAACCCTCGGAGCGCACGCCGACGCCATGCGTCCGTCTCAGGACCGCCGCCCCTTCCGCCCGCCGGACCGAGTCTCGCCGCCTCCCCACCTGCACCGCCAGCAGCGGCCCCGCCAGCCGCCCCCGCACGCGCGGCAGTTCGCGGTGATCCTCCTCCGCGCGGGCCCCAGCTCCTCCTCCCCGCCGGCCACGGAGGTCGACGCCCTCGTCGCGGGCCTCCAGTCGCCGCCCCCCGACAGCCTATCCGCCTGCTCCTCCGGCCGCCAGGCCGCCCGACTCCTCTTCCGCTCCCTCCCCGCCGCCGCGGCCGCCGCGCGCGAGCTCTGGTCGCTCCGCCTCGACGGCCTCCACCTCCTCACCCCGCACCTCCCCGACGCCGCCCTCGCCTCCCACGCCTACCCCCTCGTCGCCTCCCTCTTCGCCTCCCACGCGTCCCGCCTCCTCGACTCCGGCCTCGTCTCCCGCTCCGCCGCCCGCTCCGCTGAGCTCGCGGTCTCCATCCAGTCTGTGAAACGCCGCCTGCGCGGTCACAATAACTTCCGCGACTTCGATCAGTTCAATCTCCAGAAGAGAACACTGGAGGCTGAGAAGGAATTGATAGATGCCAAAATTGCCGAGTACAAAGCAGCCATGAGTTCGATAAGGCGTGCCATGTTACATGGGACGGATGACGAGGAGGAAGTGGATGAGGAAGAAGGGGTGGATGTGTTTGGGTTGGGGAAGGAGAGGATGTGGACTTTGTGAGGTTGCACATGATGATGCTGCGTGAGTGCAGGAGGCTCAACGAGGGGCTACCAATCTACGCATACCGCAGAAAGATTCTCAATCACATTTTCAATAATCAGGTGACTTATCTGCAGTTCTATTTGTGATGGCATAACAAATTTGCAATGCAGTGCGAGCCATTTGACAATTTATGATTATTCACAAAGTTAAAGAAAACGCTAGGCGTTTGTGCGTTTTGCCACCGCCTTGTGCTTTTCTGACTGTAGCGCACGCTTAATTAGCGTAATAAAGCGCCAGAAGTTTTTCTATAATGTAGGCACGCTTAAGCGCCTGCCTCGGTGTGCATTTTTAGCTATGGATTTGCATGCTTAGAATCAAGGAGAAAGAGCCGTGCCTGTGGAGCTTTGTCATGTGCATGTTATTATATTGCAGTGCACCATTTAGTTTCACTTGTTTATTTGAATTTGTCGGCCGTAACATGCTGATGCAAAAGTCAAGGTTTAATTATACGAGCTTTCTTCTCTACAGGTTATGATCTTAATTGGGGAAACTGGTTCTGGGAAAAGCACACAACTAGTTCAGTTTCTTGCTGACTCGGGTCTTTCTGGTAATGATTCAATTGTCTGTACGCAACCTCGGAAAATTGCTGCTTTATCATTGGCACACAGAGTAGATGAAGAAAGCAAGGGCTGCTATGCGGACAATTTTGTGTCGTCATATTCAAGCTTTTGGAATGATCAAAATTTCAGTTCGAAGATTATATTTTGCACAGATAGTTGTCTTTTATATCACTGTATGAATGATGCGGACCTGAATGGCATTTCCTATATCATTGTTGATGAAGCTCATGAAAGAAGCTTGAACACCGATCTTCTCTTAGCTTTGATCAAAAAGAAGCTGCTTGATAGGTTGGATTTGCGACTCATTATAATGTCTGCCACTGCTGATGCTAATAGACTTGCTGAATACTTTTATGGCTGCCAAACATTCCATGTGAAAGGGAGAAATTTTCCTGTTGAAATTAAATATGTACCTGATGTATCAGTTGATGCTTCTTTCAATATTGTGCCAAACTCTTTGCGTGGTCCTTGTGCTGCTGCTTCTTATGTCAATGATGTTATAAGGCAGGTAAGCATCATCCACAAGAATGAAGAAGAGGGTGCCATCCTTGCTTTCTTGACATCCCAGCTAGAAGTTGAATGGGCCTGTGAAAATTTCACCGATGCAAGTGCGGTGGTACTTCCTATGCATGGAAAGCTTTCCCCTGTGGAACAGAGTCGTGTTTTCAAAAGCTATTCTGGAATGAGAAAAATTATCTTCTGCACCAATATAGCTGAAACATCACTTACTATAAAAGAAGTGAAGTATGTTGTTGATTCTGGACTGGTCAAGGACAGCAGATTTGTGCCTAGCAGTGGTCTTAATGTTCTGAAAGTCAATTGGATTTCCCAAAGTTCAGCTAATCAACGCGCTGGCCAGGCAGGTCGAACGGGAGTGGGGAAGTGTTATAGGCTTTACTCCGAAGCCGACTTCAGTATGATGGAACTGCATCAAGAACCTGAAATCCAAAAAGTTCATCTTGGCACTGCTGTTCTAAGAATACTTGCTTTGGGTGTTAAAGATGCACAGAATTTTGAGTTTGTTGATGCCCCAAATCCAGAAGCGATCAATATGGCTGTGAAGAACCTTGAACAGTTGGGTGCTGTCAAATGTAATTGTAATTGCTATGAGCTGACTGATACTGGACGCCACTTGGTCAAATTGGGAATTCAGCCAAGGCTTGGAAAAATTATGCTTGATTGCTTTGGTTTTGGTTTGAGGAAGGAAGGTGTAGTTTTAGCTGCTGTTATGGCAAATTCTAGCAGCATCTTTTGTAGAGTGGGCACTGATGAGGAGAAACACAAAGCTGACCTTCAGAAAGTCCGTTTGTGTCACCAAGATGGAGATCTGTTCACTCTACTCGCTGTTTATAAGAAATGGGAGGATGGGCATGAGAACAGGAATATGTGGTGTTGGCAGAACAGCATCAATGCCAAAACCATGAGGAGGTGCCAGGAAACTATATCAGAACTTGAAAATTGTCTAAAGCATGAGTTGAAAATTATAATCCCAAGTTATTGGTGTTGGAATCCTGAGGCTCCCAGCGAGCATGATAAGTTGCTAAAAAGAATTATCTTGTCATCTCTTGCAGGTAATCTTGCTATGTTTTTAGGACATGAAAGGTTTGGTTACCAGGTGATTTCAACAGATCAGATTGTGAACCTTCATCCCTCATGCTCATTGCTCAATTATGGTACCAAGCCAGATTGGGTGGTCTTTTCAGAAATCTTATCCGTCCAAATCAATATCTGGTATGCGTAACTGCTGTTGATCATGATGCTTTGTATGCAATTCACCCAATGTCTTCCATTCAGCAACTGGAGAAACATAAATTACAAATAAAGGTGATTAGTGGGCTTGGTAATAACTTGCTGGCAAAATTTGTTGGCAAATCTGGCCAAAATCAGCAGAAGATCATCTCACATCTCAAGGAAGATTGCAAGGATGACCGAGTAACTGTTGAAGTTAACTTTAACAATAACGAAGTCGTGTTATTTGCTACCGCACAGCACATGGAAAAGGTCTTTTGCATTGTTAACAATGCTATGGAATGTGAAGGTAAGTTGATGAGGAACGAGTGCCTTGAGAGAAGTTTATTTCCCGAGAGGTCAGGCAGCTCTCCTATTGCACTATTTGGCTCAGGTGCTGAGGTCAAACATTTAGAACTTGGGAAGAGATATCTGACAGTAGAGGTTCTACATCAAAATGCAAGTGACATCAATGACAAGGAGCTTATTAGCTTGGTGGATAGTCTTGTCTCCGGTATTGCTAATTTTCATAAATCCAGTGGAAATTTCAGGCTAGGCTCAGATGAAACTAAATGGGGGAAGATTACATTCCTCAAACCTGAAAATGCTGAAGATGCTGTGTCAAAATTGAACGGGGTAGAATTTCATGGTTCCTCTCTAAAAATAGTTCCTGTATGTTCTCCTGATAATCAAGGTTTACGATTTCCTTCAGTAAGAGCTAAATTATGTTGGCCACGTAAGGAAAGCAGGGGCCTTGCACTTGTAACATGTGCCAGTGGGGAAGCTCAATCTGTTGTAGATGACTGCTTTGCCTTAGGAATCGATGGAAGGTGAGAGGTCAAAGGTGCTACTAAAAGGGGGCAATGAGATAACAGCTTGAAACAATAGGAGAGAAGTGGTAGCTTCATGTCGGGAGTGCTACTTCAATAACGTCAAAGGTATTAATAATGCTTGTAGCTATAACATACTGTTAAATAAATTATTAAAACAGGTGCAGCAGGCTAGTTATGAAGATTTTTTAATAAGACTTGCATCAGCATACGAAGGTTATCAATTCTATTTGCCAGCATTCATGGACTTCCGTGGTAGAATCTACCGTTCAGGTGTATTGCATTTTCATGAGCGTGATTTGTCAAAAAGTTTATTACTCTTTTCTGCCGATCATCCTCAACCTCCAGCACAAAACCACCTGTCGGAAAAAAAGAATCTCAGTCAACACTTAGCATGTGCTGCAGCCTTTAAGTATCCAAAGTTCTCGAACTTAGATGATGCCCTTAAATGGTATAACGAACACCAGACTGAAATGTTTACTTCGGACGAAAGTTTCATTCAATTTGCTGCGCAAGCTAGTGATCCATTTTTTTTCATAGCCAAGATCCTTTCTCAGGATGAAGGAGTGAGTAATTATCATCAGGTTCCAGTGACCCAAGATGCGAGTGCGAGTGCATATCAAATTATGAGTTATCTCTTGCTTAACTTAGAAATGGGTAGGAGAACGAATCTTCTTCCATCTTAAGACGGTAAAATCCAAGATGTGTACATGTGCTTGCGGGATGAGCTTAATAAATTCTTTATCAGTTGTAGGGTTAGTACGAAGGAGGAGAACTGTGTATTTGTCGAAAGAATTCCATTGCATGTCTCGGAGCGGGAACTATATGATGCTTTTCGCAGCGCAACAACAAGGAGAATCCTTAATATCCGCCTGCTCAGGGTCAAGGAAGCCACTATAGCTAGCCCCTCTGTTTCTGTATGCGAAGAAGTGCTGATTAGAGAAATTTCTCCATTCATGCCAAACAAGAGTTTTCCTGGAAAAAGTTTCCGTGTTGAAGTGTTCCCTCCCGAGGAAAATGACTCGATGATGAGAGCAACTTTAACTTTTGATGGAAATCTTCATCGAGAAGCTGCAAGAGCACTGGACCATCTTGAAGGAAGTATTCTTCCTTGTTGTCAACCTTGGCAGATAATACAGTGCAAGCATGTATTTCATAGCACTATGTCCTGTTCAGTGCGTGTTTACAATGTTATCAGCCAGGAAGTTACTTCTCTGCTTGAGAGCTTCCGAAGCCAAAAAGGTGTGCCTGCATTCCTCATTCGCTAAATGCATTGATTTTTTTCACTGTTCTATTGGTTGAACCTCTCATTCCTCAGTTGCGGTTGCTTTCATATTCCTTTTTGTCTTTCTTTTTTCACTTAGTTTAGTTTTATATGAGGTAGCCAGACTTTGTGAGCCATCTTTTCCGGAAACTCATCTAGGATCCTCATCTCCCTAGGGAGCAACTTACTGCTACTGGTGTTGCAGTGTTTTCTTTTTTGTGAAACTTCAAGATTTTTCATGCCTTTAGTACCTTTCCTTATTTGACACTAGGATAGTGATGACTTCCCTGTTTGACCCTGGAAAAAACTTTTTTTCCCTATTTGGCACCAGATCTTATTTTCATGCCTTTCGTGGCACCGTCAGCCACCCCTAGTATATAAGGTCTAAGACCTGTCATTTTTTGTTGCATGGACGAAACTACCGCTGGCTTTACAATACTAGAAAGGAAGAAAAAAACAGGCCATCGCGTCCAAGTTGCTCTCTCCCTCCCACTCTTTGTCCACTGATCCATCCCCTTCAATTTCTCCCCCAATCCCCACCCAAGATGGACTGAAGCGGTCATTGGTACTGCTGGAAGCAGCCGCCCGTGCCCTATGGCGCAGTGCCTGCACAGCCTCTGCAACCGCCTCCTCTGCCTCTGCGTGCACACACGACCCTGCCCCTGCCCCTGTGTGTCCTTGTCCTTGCTGTCCTCCTCTGCCTCCAGCACGGTCGTCCGCCAGGTGTGCAAACTCATTGAGCGGGAGTGCCAGATCGACAAACAGGAGGTGCAGGTATCGCCGGTCGCGGTCCGTGGCCGTTGGCGGAGGCAGCGGTACTGGTGAAGAGAGGTGGAGGTCCAGGGTCTGGGGGTGGGTGGTGTTGCGTGGAACGGCAGCGCGCTGGTGGTGGTGGTGGTGGTGGTGGTGTGTGGGTGTGTGTGGGTGTGGGGGCGGTGTCGAATGGCTGTCGGTGAGCTCATCTGTGTGGTCGGTCTACGGCGCTGCAGTGTCACAGCGCAGATGTAGGGGACAGCTAGGGCGTCAAGCACGGAGGTGTGCTGTTCCTGGAATGCCAGCTCCGGGTGCTGGTGGATACGCTGCCACGAATCCCAGCGTGTGCCTCCTCCAGCAGCTGTGCCACCACCGTGACCATCGTTCTTGCCGGAAGCGCACGTGTGGGAGATGGAGGAGGAATTAAGCTTCCGCCTTATGGCGCACCTTTGTGCGCACGTTGCAGTCTGGTCGGGGCGTGTAGTCGTGTACTGCTACTAGTGGCCGCCTGGCTGGCATGTAATGTTTGTGTGTACTACCTTTTTTTTAGGGGATGTGTGCGTGTACTACCTAATGTATGTATGCTCCTGCTATTGCGTCCGGACGGCTACTGTCGCTGACAGTGGAGGTGGGGCCCTCCCGCGTGCCGATGGTGCTGATGCCCTAGTCCCGGCTCTGATTCTTCGTCGTGCTGTCCTCACTTCGCGGTGCCGTGGTGAGACGGCGTGGAGGCCTCACGACCGCGTTGGCGCAGGGTGGTGGTTGGTTTGGTGGCGGGATCCGAAGCGCCCGAGGTGCGGGTTGGGATCGGGGGAAACCCCTGTCGGCGTGGCCGACTCCGGCGCGGTGGCGCCTGTGGGTGCCGCCTGTCCTTCCGGGAGGGCGTCGGGGGCTTCTCTTCCTCTCGCCTCGTCGTGTACCGGGGGAAACCCTTGGCAGCAGCGTCGTCATCGTCGCGATCCTTCTTGGAGGTGTTGATTGGTGCCGGCGCTTCGGAGTCTTGGAGCCTAGTGGATGAGCCCGGTGGGCCTAGCGATCGCGAGACTTCTTCGTTTTTGTTGATCCGCCGTTGTCGGCATTTGTTTCTTTTGCTCTTTCTCTGTTGTTTCTTTTGGGCGTGACTGTGCTGCTTCCGCCCCAGCACCTATCCCTGTATGATTCGGTTGGTTGCTTTGTATACAAAGCGGGGGGAAACCCTTTTTCGGGAATGTATGTATGTATCATCTGTCCATGTAACCATGAAAAAATCTAAAGGTCCTCCAAAATTCATCACAGTGCTTTAGTCAAAATTTTGGTCACATACTACATTAGAGGCAAAAGCGTCTTTTCAGGTGTTATTAACACCGTTAGTGGCCAAAATAGACGACAATGTCATAAAAGGCATACAAGTTAGAGGCAGTGTGAAATAGGAAAGTATTTTCTTTCCTGGCCCAAATAGGGAAGCACATTTTAATGTAGTGCCAAATAAGGAATTTCCTCATTAGGTCCCTTAGCTTGAATTCCTTTTACCTGTCCTTTAAGAGTGACAGGATTGATTTTTCTTGTACCGTAATAGACAAGCTCAAAAGAAAGACTAATTATATAAAAACATGACCATTCTTCAAAGAATTTATATTAGCTAATAGAGAATCTATATTAGGGGCAAAGCCATTTTTCTCAATTACATTTTTTCTAAGTCTTTGCTTGCTCCAGGGAGAAAACCATTATGAGTTGTGGCTCATATAAATTTGAACCGGGGAACATGAGTAGTTATATAACTCATTGTCTATTTTATCTCAATATCTTCATGAGAAGCATAAAATCCAGTGGCAGCGCCAGTGACCATTCTTCAAAGAATATATATTAGCTAATAAAGAATCTATATTAGGGGCAAAGCCATTTTTCTCAATTACATTTTTTCTAAGTCTTCGCTTGCTCCAGGGAGAAAACCATTATGAGTTGTGGCTCATATAAATTTGAACCGGGGAACATGAGTAGTTATATAACTCATTGTCTATTTTATCTCAATATCTTCATGAGAGCATAAAATCCAGTGGCAGCGCCAGTGACAAAAAGGCTGTGGGTTCAAGTGCATTAATCTCTCTGAAATTTTCTACTTTTTTGCACACATCTGAATGAAACTAAGAAAAAGCTGTGGGGTCAGCTGATCCCTCAGCTAACATGTGA